AGGCTAGTATATCAGGGTCAGGACAAATTCATATATAAAGAAGGATATTTCTTTCGCAGTGCTGAAATCCAGAATAGCCAGAAAAGCAGGACTACGCCTTGACTTTGGCCTCTTCCCATCTGCCTTAGCATATGTTTTAAGGCTTGTGCCTTATTACCTCAGCTATGAGCTATTTTTTTCCAAAGGAAGCTGAAATAAATTTGAAAAAAGCAGTCCAGCTTTCCAAAGTAGACTCTCATGGGCTTTCAGTGCACACTGTATAAATAAAAGATTTGCTTTTCAGCTCCTGAGAAAAGAAAATGTAAATAGGAACCAGCTGCTTCTCTCCATGAGCAGATGAACACCTGATCTTACTCCCCTCTCCTCTCGTTACCAGTGCTCCAGTAAATGAGTGGAGGTCTCTGTACTGGTTGCAGTCGTTCCTAAACTTTGCCCCATGTTGGAATCAACTCAGGATCACTAAAAAAAAAAAAAAATGTTTGGGCCTTACCTCGAGATACTCTGATTTAATTAACATGAGGGGTGACCTGGGTTTTAGATTTTTAAAAGCTCCCCTAAGGGATTCTAATGCATAGCCAAGTTTGAAAACCACTGCCTTCTTGACCAGTTTGGTAAAAATGAGAGGCATTAAATTAGTGTAAGAGGTGAATTTTACCCAGCTCCACTCATTAGAGTCTCGGGATTCATTTTGGTTCATGTCTTGCCAATGGGCTTCAGCCCTGGACAAGTTTACTATGGATTCAGTGAGACTGAAAGAATGACAATGGAACGTTCTTGGGGTGAAAGGTTTATATCCAACTTTATTCCCATGGTGGCAGGTCAAGCACAAGAATTCCGTCCACCCCAGAGCAGTCTGCATGCAGCAATCCAGTCTCTGCCTCAGGGCCTCTGCAGCCCGACAGCCGTCTCAGTCTCTGTCCTCCGTGCTACCACCAGCCCAGCCTCTGCAGCCTTGCAGCCCTGCAGCCCTGCAGCAGCTGGAGCACTGGGTGGAGCTCTTTTTAATAGAGTCAGTAACAATGTACTGCCCACACCCGTGTAGTGAGCAAGCCGACCAGGGCCAGGCGAGAATCCTGGCCACAGGAACCTTTACTTTCTCCACAGTTCAAGACCAGACTCCGAGCCTTACTCAGCTCTGACCCTTTGGGCATGTCACTTAACCTCTCTGAGCCTCAGTTCTCTCATGAGTAAAATGGAAATAACACTTATTTTATAGAGCTCTCCACAGATTGAATGACAAATGCTTATCATATGTATAGCACATTTGTAGTTATTTTAAATTAATATAACTATCATTTAAATTCAGAATTCATTAAATTTCAAGTCTTTCAAGTAGTCCTTTCTAGTTAAAGGAAGAAATCTATTTGTACTTTAAAAAAAAAGTGTTGTCCCTCGTTCCAATTCCATGCTCACTGAGCAGTCTTCTAATTACAGTTTGGCTTCTGTATAAAAGAGGCCTTCAACCATTCACTCATTCAACAAATACTTATTAAAGGCCTACTATGTGTCAGACTTTCTTCTAGGCATGAGGGTACATCAGCAAACAAGAAATATTTCTGAAGGAGGAAGACAAGCAAACTTAAATAAATCATATTATATGGTAGAAAATAATAAGTGCTATAGATAAAAATAAAGCAGAAAAGGTGCATGAGGGTGATTGGGGGGGGTTCTGTTTTAAATTGGAGGAACTATCCTAATATAAGTTATAATCCACAAGGTAGTTTTTTAATGGATTGCAGTCTGGTTTTCTTGAAGCTGCAGCAAACTCATTCTGTTATGGGTTGGTAATGTCAATATAGTGCATAAAATTACTTTTCATGCATTTCATACTTCTTAAAATTCGACACCATTTTTTTAGGTAATTGGTTATAAGCAAAAAGTAACCCAATATGCTACTGAACCTCCTATTTCAAACACCTTAAGTTGGGTTTCTTCTGGAGTAGATCCTGAGAGAAAGATGTAAGGTCAAGTTTAATTGGGAGGTGACTCCAGGAAGTTGGGGGAATAGGTACATGAGACAGGGTAAGATAATAAGCCAACAGAAATTATAGTAATGAACAGGCTTCATCTGTGGGCAACAGGCTCAGCCCCACTAAGGCTGGGAGACTGTATGGAATGTGCCCGTGGAGTAAGGAAGCTGGGCTATTTTCCTACCAATTTTATGCATTATGGGTTGAGGGTTCCTCTATCAGCATATCTGGAATAAGTGCATGTCTTGCCTGAGGGTTTCAATGGAGCGTTCTTGGAGTAAAAGCGTTTATAATCAGCTACTTCCACACAGCCACAGGTCAAGCACTAGAATCACGTCCGCAGTCAGAAGTGTGCAGGTCCATAACCCACCTCTGTCTCTGCTTCCCCTCAGAGCACTGGGCAGAGCTCTTTATATAGTGACTCAGTCAATAATAGCCTATTGCCTACAGGTGTGGAAGCAGTAGCCTAGCAGCAGGCCAATTACAACATTAAATAGTTTAGCGTCAGGTGAGGATCCTGGCCATATGAAATTCCATTTTCCCCGTAGGAGGCATGAGGATGGGGAATCAACTATGGTAAAAGAATCATTTTTTACTCTAATTCAAAGTTTTTAATGTAATATTTAAACAGAGACTAAGCTCTAGTTTTCCTTTTCACAAATAATCTCTCTATATTATGATGTGATATTATAGATATGATTGTGGGAAGAATGCTTAAAATTAATTTAAACAAGATTATTTTTATATAGTCTCAAAAGTTTCAGAAGCCTAATTATCTAATGCACTAATGATGGATTATTATCTATTCATTAAAGCAAGCCCTGTGACACCCATTCATTTGATTTAATATTCTTTGAAAATAATGCAATTGCATTCTTTAGAAATAGTCTATACTAAGATTTCTTTTCTTGGGCAAAATGCATTTTCTGACTGAATTAATTTGAAATAAAGAACAGTTTGTACATTACCAAATCCAGTTGACAGCAGGCAGGCAACAGTGGAGCTCCCTGTATTCACTGTGCTGTAATGTTGTAACATCAGCCAGGGAACATTGGTCTTTCATTGCTCTAAGATTCCTAAAAACAAAGCACTGAAATCAAGACTCTTTCTACACAGGTGATTGAAATAAATAGGGGCTGAAAGTTGTGGATCTCTTCTCTTGCCCACTCACCTTTTTGCACTAGAACTTCTCTTTGCTTCTTTGGGGACCTGATAACATGGAGTGCCAATGGTGAGGCAGGACTGGGCTTACAAGGCCAGGAAGAAAGATGCTCAGGAGGAAAGCAATAGTGGAAATTGGAATATCGGCAAATTTTAAAGCAGGGTTATTGTTCATGGACTGTAGTCAGATGTACTGTGGAGAAAGTGAAGGTTCCTATGGCCAGGATTCTTGCCTGGCCCTGATCAGCTTGCTCACTACACACATGAGGGCAATACATTATTCTTGGCTCTTTATAAAGAGCTCTGCCCAGTGCTCTGGGCGACTTGGCTGCAGGAAAGCAGAGGCTGGAGTGATGGCAGCACTGAGGACAGAGACTGAGATGGCTGCCAGGGCAGAGAGGCCCAGAGGCAGAGACCGGATTGCTGCATGCAGACTCACTCTGAGTGGGTGGATTCTAGTGCTTGACTTGCCACCATGGGAATAAACTTGGGTATAAACCCTTTCATCCCAAGAATGTTCCATTGTCCTTTTTTCAATCTCATTGAATCCATAATGAACTTGTCTGAGGCTGAAACCCACTGGCAAGACACATACCCAGGCTCAAGCCTGTCTCTACTGCTTACTAGCCATGTAATCTTAAACATACTACTTTCTCTCTCTGCCTCAGTTTCTTCATCTGTGAAATGGTGGTGAAATAGGACTGCCTCAGAAGGTCATTGTGAAGAGTAAAGGAAATGATGCATTTGGGAGTGCCAAGCACAGCCCCTGGCACACAGCAAGCACACAGGACGGGTAGCTAAACCAAGAGGGCACAAAGGTGGTTCAGAGCAAGTGGTCACCACACTGAGCCATGACAGCCATTGCTTCTGCAGAGCCCTTGGACTTTGAAGGCCTCTTTTCCTAGGCCATCCAATACTCTCCAGACCACCCGGCCTCCTGGTGCAGACACTCTGCACAAGTGACCTCACTTGGTTACTAGGATGGTTGATTTCCTTGAGACAGAACAGGGCTACCTCAGTGTCCCTGTGTGCAGACAGTTCTTACCTTTCAGGTAGTGCAGGTAGCAGAAACTTGGCAAGACTACAGTCCAAATTCCATCTCTGTTATTTCCTGTATGGCCTCAGCCAAGTCACTTAGTCTCTCTGGACCTTAGTTTCCTCGTCTTTAAGCTGATGGTAATACCCACTTGCCGACAGCAATACACGTAGGGCATCACAGAGCCAGTGCTTTACCGATGGCCTGGTATTCTCTCTCCACACTGGAGGCCCATTGGAGAATGTTTATACCCAGGGGAGTTTTACCAGGACAAGTTCTAAGGTTCACATCCAAACCTTGAAATGAGGCCTGGGTCGCCTCCTCATCTCTGCTTCTACACACTCCCCACCAGATTGGGCAGAAGACTGTAGCTTCACAAAACCACACATTTGAACCTATGTGACAATATTATTTGATGTTGGAGTCTTTTAAGTATCTGCCACTCTGATTCAGTTCTTGACCTGATAATGCTCCTCAGTTTGTAAGAATCATCCCTAGCCAGAAATGACAGTTTAAAAATCATAGGGACCCACCTATCCAATGAACTGACCAAAACTCTTTTCTGCCAGGACATCAAGCTGTACTTACTTGTGTGTGGGGAGGGTGGCTCCTTGACACTGACTAGCCTGGTCCCTTCTCCCGGAACCTTAGGCCACCCACTCTCCTTGATATCTCCCTGCCTGCACGCACAGATATGCACACTACCTCATTAGGGACTCTACTCCTCAAGTCCTCGTTAAATCCAATTATGGCTTGGAACCAGAGGGTGGGCTTTCAAAAAGATGCAGTAGTATTTTATGAGTGCTTGATACAAGTGCTCTTGCCTTTTCCAGGGAAAACAGAAGCCTATTTGGAAGCCATCAGAAAAAATATAGAATGGTTGAAGAAACACAACAAAAAAGGAAATAAAGAAGGTAAGGATTTAGTGTGACTGTAAATTGCAGAATTTCAGCCATTTGTCAGGGGCCCTTGTTAAATGAAGATCCCAAACTGGGCTAAAGTTTCTGCACAGATCCAAAAAAAAAAGACTCTAGGTGCCCCTCAGAGGCATAAGGCAACAGAACCTCCATTTCTCTTATTTCTCAATCAGCCTCTCAAGCAAAGGCCTTTTCTTTTACATTTTTATTATGAAAATGTGAAACAAAAGTAGAGAAAATACAGTGAATCCCCATATATCCATCACCCACCTTCAATAATCATCAACATTTTGCCCTTTTCTTGGAGTTTTTAAACAAAAGCATTGTCTGAGCACATATTAAATGCACCTTGGAGTCCCAAAAGCATTTACTTAAAACACAGAACCAAACTCTGTTCTGCTCTGAGTGACAGAGTCATGAAGGATGGTAAGATGCAGCCTCCCCCGCACCCCATGCCCCCCGGGCCACCCCAGGGGTTCCAGCATCAGTAAGGCTGGCTGGCCCTGCTCGGTGCTATCACAGATAGGCATGGTGGTGACGAGGAGAGGAGGGGGCATGTTTTCCTTTGGGAGCAGAGACCATGGGGAGAAAGAACCCCAGGAACACCCTTGTGGAAAGGCAAGTGAGGAGAGATGGAGGCAGAGCAACACTAGGTGCTAAGACATAAAGGGACTAAACTAGAGGGACAAATTCTGGGAACTGGAGCCATTCCGTTTCCCAGGGGCACTGTGTGTCTGTGGGGAGGACCTGCACATAGGGCCCAGAAGGTGGGTAGTGGCCAGGCCACAGGGAGCAGCTTGTGCACCCTGCAGAGGAGGTTAGTTTAGTCACAAGAGTCTAAATCAGGGCACAATTAGGTTAAGAGCTGAGAAATCTACCTTGCAGCAGTGTGGTTACAGATTGAAAAAGACCACAGAAGAGAGATTCAAGGGAAGGATCTGGAGCAGAAATAATGGGGCTCAAACCAAGGCAAGTCAGAGGAAATAAAGAAAAAAGGAGAAATTCGAGAGAAAATCATGGAGAGGAGCTTAATGATTCCTAGGGGCCTGGCCAGAGCAACTGCAAAGGGATGCTTTTAAAATGAGATAAGCAGTGCTTTTCAAACTTGGAAGTGCCTTCAAATCACCTGTGGAGCCCCTAAATGTCCTGACGCCAGATCACACCTTAGTATCACTGTCTTGCCAATGGGTTTCAGCCCCGGACAAGTTCACTATGGATTCAGTGAGACCAAAGAAATGACAGTGGAATATTCTTGGGGTGAAAGGGTTTATATCCAGCTTTTTTCTCACAGTGGCAGGTCAATCCCTAGAATCCTGTCCACTCAGAGCGAGTCTGCATGCAGCAAGCTGGTCTCTGCCTCTGGGCCTCTCTGCTCACACAGCCATCTCAGTCTCTGTTTTCAGCGCTGCCGTCACTCCAGTCTTGTCTCTGCTCTCCTGCAGCCTTACAGCCGTGCCACTGTGTTGGTCAGAGCACTGGGTGGAGCTCTTTATACAGTCAATAATGACGCACTGCCCACATGTGTGTAGTGAGCTAGCCAGCCAGGACCAGGGAGAATTCTGGCTACAGGAACCTTCACTTTATCCACAATCACTAAATCCAAAACTTGAGGGGCAGGACCCAGGCATCAGTATTTTTTAACCCCCTCACCATTTTGTTGTACAGCCAAGTTTGAGAACTGCTAAGATTGAGCACAGTGGGAATAAGAGGTATTTTCAGTCCCCCTTTAGCCATGATCTTCTCTGTTGAGTGAGAAGGAAAGAATTGCCAGGTCTTCACACTTTATGTTCAAATGATAGGAATTCCCAGGCTGTCAGTTCTATTATAATTCACATGAACGGTATTTCATCAGATCTGTCATTGAAAAATGCACCATTTCATGTACTACTAAAGAAGAAAAATTATAACATGCCATCAGTGACTACAAAGACTTTAAAATTTAAACACAAGTTTACCTTAGAATCGGTGTAGTACAGTAGGTACCAAAATACATTCTGAAACCAATATAAATTGTGTAGTCTATCAATTTGGAGTATTTCTTTCACTAATTAACATATGTATCAGACCCCTGGTCAGAACCAGCAACAGCTTGCAATTTAATCTTCCACTTCCAGAAACGGCCAACCTAGTGAAGCACAGAACTGTGGTGCTTGCCTATGGAGGGCATCTTGTCAGTGGGTTTCAGCTCAGGCAAATTTACTCTTGATCTGGTGAGACCGAAAGATGACAATGGAACATTCTTAGGGTAAAAGGGTTTATACCAGCCTTAGTCTCCCACTGATAGATTGAGCACTAGACTCATATCTGCATCCAGCAGTCCACGGGTCTGCAATCCTCCTCAGTCTCTGCCTCCGCCCAGAGCACTGGGCAGAGCTCGTTATATAGTGACTCAGTCAGTAATAGCTCATTGTCTGCGGGTGTGGAAGCAGTAGCCCAGCAGCAGGCCAGTTACATCATCAAGTAGTTTATAGTCAGGTGAGGATCCTGAGGACCGTGTTGAGCCTGATGCTCCCTTCTGCCTCCAGGAAGTAAGGGGGACACCCAGTCACCTTCCTGAAGGCAGAAGCAGAAAGCTTTTCCTCCACTGCCTTCTGATGTGCTCTGCTTGACTTGGGTCGCCCTCCAAGTCGTGAGAATCTAGGTCCTAAGACCAATGCAGTGGCTGCCGCTGGGTAGGCAGGAGGTCTTGCTATTCTGACCTTCGTCTGCTGATGCCCTTTGTCTGGCAGGTGCCTGGGTAACCTGACTGTCCTTCCCACATCCAGGAAAGGGAGGTCCATGTGATGTGGTAGTGTGAATGATGGTAAAATCTTACAAAACCTTAATAAAGGAGTCTGTATTTCTTAAAAAGTGAGTCACAGCCCTTATCTTTTTTGAGCCTAACAACCTTAAAATCTCTTATAAGGGTAGCAAGGCTGCTGTGGACTTGTGTGCTCTAAAGGCAGCTGACAGCCTTTCCTCTGCACAGGCTGCCTTTCCCACTATGCACAGTGGTAGCTATGTCATAAAGATAGTTTTTCCATGTCAAAACAGAGCAAAATAATTTCCTGTTTGTCCATTCAAATCACCTGGACCTCATCACGTCCATCCTTGGGAGTCTGCCTTTTGTCCCACCAAAGATGTTGATCCTGTCACTGATTCTGAGGAGCCTGTATTGATTTGAACCATGATAATCAGGAGACAGCTCTTCGTGCCCTCTGAGTCAGTCTGGAATTCAGCCTATCAGGTGCACACAAAACCTATGTTCAGCCTGATTCTCTAGTTTCTGCCTGAGAAAGGGAGAGAACAGAACAACACGAGACCCCAGCCCTTACTGAATGTCTGTCTGCAGCACTCAGCTGCTTCACATTCACTCCTTCAAGGCTGTAGAGTGGTCAAAGCAGTGACTACAGACAGACCTGGGTTCAGAACCTGCCTCCACCACGACCTGGGCAAGTGGCTTCCCTCCTCTGTCCTGTCTCTTCCTCTCTGAACTGGGGATGCTGACCTCGTGGGGCTTTGTGAGGAGCAATTAAGATGCTGGTTGTAAAGGGCTTGATGCTGAGAGTTCTCTTTTATTCTCATATCTAATGGAGAACAAATGCCCTCTTCCGTGACGGAAGATAGGCTCTAAACCTCAGCTCACTGTGGTATGATAAACACCTGGTGCTTGTCGAGAGGCCTTTGTGCTTACTTTTCCTTTCATGCAGGGCCTTCAGGATGCCCAAGTGACCCAGATCCCAGTTCCCTTCAGACTAGCTAAATGTGGCCATGGAGTGTTCTGAGTGTTTTGTGCTGCAGTCTTTCCTTTCTCTGCCCTTTACAAACTGAAAGAAGGCAGGGCCCTGCTCCAAGGTGCTGCCACTGGCCAAGATAAATGACACCGTCCTCAGGGAACTTGGCCTCGGACGGTCTGGAGGGTGGGAGACACACATGTCCAGCTATGAGGGATGTGTACCATAAATTTTAGTATCTCCATAGGATGTATTATGTGAAGCCATTTAAAGTGGTGTTACTAAAGAATATTAATGCTCACAGTATAAAGTTAAGTGAAGGGAACTAGTTATAAGTGTATATATATACACACACACAATATACACAACAATTCTGTGTTGAGAGAGATGTATTGAAAGGCTAAAAGAAAAAGAAAATGCCAACTGTGGTTATTTATGACTAATAGAAACCAGGTGACTTAAATTTCATTTTCATGTTTCTGTATTTTCCATTGTTTGAAACAATAAGCATAAAAAGAATCAAGGGAAGATGTGAGTTTTTGTTTTTTTTAAGCTTTCAGAAAGATGACACAGGCAGCCTACTTACTTAGAGATCTCTTTATTTTTAGTGGATGGTTTGATGGTTTACATAGAATTTTTGTGTAAGTAGGTCAGAGGAACCATAAGGAGGTTACAGTTTGGTTTTGCTCCATGCACAGAATTCAAACACTGAAAATCAAGGTAATTCTTAATTTGGAGGAAAAAAATGTGGGTTGTCAGATCAACAGAAACTCAATGTAACTAGTAAGGTCAGAAAGTCAAAACGTCTGCTTCTGATGGTAACTTTTACTACCCATGTGACCTTGAACAAGGTACTTAAGCTTTACGGTCTTGTTACCTCAAATGTGAGTCCTGGGCCAGGGGCATCACTAGTACCTGGAAACTTGTTTAAAGCACACAACCTGGGGTCCCACCTCAGACCTGCTGAATACAAGTCTGCTGCATCCCAGGAGCCACAGGGAATGGGTGTAAGGTCTGCAAAGCCCTAGCCTGAGCCAGTGTTCTCTGCGGTCGGATGAGGGAGGCACTTCCCACCACAAACAACACCTCGCAGGCGTGATGACGACAAGCAAATACGATAATACATGTAAATATGACTTTAAACTGCAAAATACCTCACGAATGCTGAGACCACAAATGTCTTCCAATGTGAAAGACTGCATGGTAGTTGTACAAAATGCTTCTTAGCTAATGGTAATCACTGTAATGGGATTGCTCTTTCTTGATCTTTGCTTGTGATACTCTGATGATATTTTCCAGATTATGACCTTTCAAAGATGAGGGACTTCATCAACCAACAAGCTGATGCTTATGTGGAGAAAGGCATCCTTGATAAAGAAGAAGCCAATGCCATCAAGCGTATTTACAGCAGCCTGTAAAAACAGAGGGCGATCCAGGCGTCTTTAGACTGTTTCAGAAAACCTAATATAGCTTAAAGTAAAACACTTCTAATTCTGTGATTAAAGTTATTTTGACCCAAGGATTATTAGGAAGTGCTGAATTTATAGTAGTTAACCTTTTAGAAGTGGTTAAAACATAGCTTTCTGGCCAGAGAAACTTTCTGAAAAGTAAAGTTGTATGTAAGCTGAGATTTTGTATATAGAATCCTTATTTCCTGATAGATTTACATTTTATAATCAGAGATAAGTTGCTTTGAAAAAGCCTGTAATGGACTGAACTTAAAACTGAACCTTTTTCCCACTGTAACACACACATAAGCACCCCCTGAAGAATTAGTGGGCTTTTTTCAAGGCATGCTGGGTACCAAAGCACCTCATAGAACATGTCTGTTACACGATGTCATTTCCACTACCAATTCCCTTGTGGGAGCTGAAATAAATTCACATTTCCTCAAAGCCTCTATAGCTTAAAGCATAGCTCTATGCTTTTTTGGCTGCTCCTGCTGGCTGCTATCAAGTCTGATAGCACAAAAAGGAACATAAGAATTTGCTGGATTTATTTCCCCCGCTCTTAACATTTTCTATTAGTGAGTTTTCAGACATTGAGTTTGTTTACTAAGAGGGATATCTATGTACTCTTCAAGGAGAAAAATGAAGTCATACACATTACATAAAGCGAGGAAAAAATTCATGCCATATGTGAGCTGCCTAAACTGAAATTGATCCAAGCCAAAGTTTCTCAGCAGAGAGTGAGAGGCCAGGCAGTAGGGTAGAAACAGAAGAGTCATTTCCTTCTCTGAGAAGCAGAGCTCGTAGATGAGCTTCCCTGAAGAAAAAAAAGAATTAACTTTGGTCTCTTAGCATTCTTCTTCCTCAATCTCCACCACAAACACAGCCCTGAAAGCAACACACAGGGGCCGGTGGTCCGCCGATGATGTTAATGGGCAATGTTGCCAAACTAAAGAATACTTTGAAAATATTATTCAGTATAAATTAATTACATAAATATGTTTCCATATATTTCAGTTGGAAATCATAAAGATAATATAATGCTTTGTGTACTAGCTGTATGACTTCAGCCTTCTGTCCTGAATGCCCCTACTTGGTATTCACTTTTTGGAAAGAATGGGAACTTCCAGGGAAATTTTAAAAGAGACTACTGTTCAAGGGTAGGAGACCACTGCTGCTCCTCCCCACCCTCCCTAGAGTTGCAAAAATCAGCAATAGCCAAAGCCTGTCACACACAAAAACTAACCTCACTTAATACGTTCTAGCGAAGCCAGCCCTCACTGGCGAACTGGGAGAGGGACCTAAAAAGGCCTCTGCCCTGATGACAAGCGCTGAAGCACACTGGCTGTAATGGCGTCTTTGATAACACGACTGACTACTTCACCCATGTCCTGTGGTCCAGACAGGCTGCTTCTATGCCATAGACAGAAAACTGACTGTGTCTGATATATTTTATCCACTCACTTTTCAATAATTTATCTAGGTCTCTATGTAGTATTTTTTTAAAGTAGTAAATTTACTTCCAGTTTATTGCAGCTTTCTGAGACACTGATATTAATTATTCCTACTGATAACCAAGACAAAAGGGAGATCATCGGTCCCATTTGATAAATGAGGAGACTGGTTCACAAAAAGAACCCAGGCACAGGATAGTATGGCCGAGAACTGGTAATGTTGGGAGGGACCAGATCCCAGGTTTCTTGTCTCTCAATCCTCCCAGTGACTCTCTGCAAGGCAGGGACTCAAGTGCTCTAGTGCAGGAGAGTTTAACTGCAGCCATGATAAACTAAAAAATTTTAACATTTTGAAAAGGGGAGAGACATTTTGGCTAGAAATTGCTAAGAGATACCTTAGGCAAAAGTAAAATACTCAAAAAAATTATTTTGAGATTGTGGTCTTAATTTCAAGTTTCAGTTTATGTTTAAAGTTTTGGATAGTGTTCTTATATTCATGTCTTTTCAAAAGCTCTCAAATTTCAAATAATCTCAAATTATTTTATGTTAAACAGCACGATAACTATATTTTTAAAATATTCCTAGGCTGCCATGGAAGCCTGGGCCTTTTCTGACATACACAACTGTTCCCTTCCTTTATTTTTTTCTCTTAGTTTTCGCCTCTTCCAACTAACTCCCCGCAGTTCAGGTACTAGTGGCTACAAACACGCAAGAAAAATGCAACAGAACAGCAAAGCATGGTCATGAGATCACCCACAGCCAAGAGTGCAGGAAATAAAGGAAATAAAAACAGGAGATGTCATTATCATGAGGAAAACTGAGAAAGAACAAAAGGGATTATAGATGTTATGAACAAACAAGAAATTAAAGACAAGGGCAGACAGCTACTGTCTCCCATTCCTGTGCCAGCTGGTCGGCCTAGGGGCTTGGATCTGTGCAATTCTGGTTCTGCAAGCTCTGCAGCACTAACGCCTAAAGGCACTTGTTTCCTGCTTAATGGAAGGCCTGGAGGAGAAAGATGGGAAAGAGAAAGCCAGGGGAGATCAGAAGAGAAACACAGGTCCTTTTTGCCCGACAGAAAGCACACTCCTTAGGTGACTGGGGAGGGATAAAATATGGGGAATTTTTCAGGAAGCTTAAAGATTTATTTAACCTGGTACTTGAACAGAAATTGAAGCCAACAAAATTTAATTGCTAAGATTATATTGCTTAAGGTTTACTGCTGTAACCTGTACATATAATAAAAGTAAGACATATAATGTGAATAAAAACCTAACCCTCCATTTGAATGAGCTCAGTCACTATAAAATGACTGACTCATCAATGAAATCTAAACTAGGATGCACCAGTGTGTCAGAGCATGGTATTTCTTATATCTTCCTCTGATTGTATTTCTTGTTTTTACCCTATCTGAAACACATCAGGTCAAGTACTATAAAAGTGCAAAGGTTACTAGCAACCATAATTGCTTTGCTTTTAGACTATTGAAGCTTTTCTTTCAAAATTCCAATAAAACCATTAAAATGGAGGAGATTCTGTCAGTTTCAAAAATATAATTTAAAAATCAATTTCACTGAAGAAAAATTGAAGACTCAAATATGAAAACATACTTTATTTTCTCATTCAGACTTTTGTATTTTTTACAAAATAGCAGACAAAATTTGGTTCTTTATATTAGATACATAATGCGTAATACATATTGAAATATATATATATATAGCACTTAAGTATAAACACATAGCAAAATCAGCATTACTTAAACGGCAACCATGTTGTTCACGCAATTAGGATTTCTCAGGCGCTAAACATTGTTTTTAGCTAGAATACGTATATAGTCTTTGATGCTTTATGTCAACTAGTATTTACAAAAGCTAGTCTAAAAACTACCACCACCTATAAAAGTAATGAGTCTTAGGATACAATTCTGCTTTCATGCCATCATAAAGACATAAAATGATAAGAGCCAAAGGTAACTAATCACTTCCTGCCACTGCAGGAGGCAGACCTACTTAATTGTGTATTAAAGAGGTGCACTATGAGGATCCAAAAAGGATGCTTTGGAATCCCCAGTTGTTGGTTTCTTTATTCTCCAACCATCTCTTAATCCAGGCTAGATTATGCCCCCGATCATCTAACTGTGATAGAGGGAAGTTGCATAGAGACTTTCTTCATCTCTGAAAAAAAGAAATTCAGCATAAATCAGTGTTTAAAAACTATATCCACAAAACTAACACATATACTTACTATACCACTTAATATCCGCTTGCCAAAGAAAGGCAAAAGTATATCAATTTATAATTCATACACGCCTTGAAAGTTATATGAAATGTAAATACTCATTAAAGTGTATCTTATTGTCTACATTATTGGTGTCTCAGCTATTGAAATTAACAGTAGTACATATTATATATTTATATTTTTATATTATGCTTAAAGTATATTAAATTATAAAACGATTGTATTCATGTTTATATTTGTTTATATTTTTAATACTCCATCTCTTTCTCAAAAAGATTTGAGGCATCAAACAGCATACATATATTAAGATGAATAAAATAGAAATAAAAAATCAAGTTTAAGGAAAAGGATACAATATACTAACCATAAGAAATATTATAGAACATTGTATATCAACTATATTTATATTTTAAAATAGAAATATTGTAGTTGTTGAACTGAACATTAATTTTAGTGGCAATCTTCATGGTAGGCAGGGCAGAAAAGTAAACACCATAGGTTGTGCCATTTGCGGAATCATAAAGGACAAAAGCAACCAATTCCGTAGAAGAGAGAAAGGTTCGCCCTAACACCAAATTATAGAACAAAGAAAAAAGCTCACAAGAGAAACACCAGGTAACAAATAATGGACAATGTCTTTGACAAATTGTATAAGATTCAGTTTTTCACAAATAATCTCTAAGGCATGGCTTCTCTGAAGGGGTCAACTTGATGTCTGTGCTTGGCTGCTATCCAGAATTGCTAGCTAGACAGTTATGCAACAAAAGCAAAGAAACAAATGTTTTATGATAACAGTGACTTAAAAAAAAAGAGGAGATTAATGATACCAAAATAAAAAGCAAATAAATAAAAAAGAAGCATTGAAATAGATAAAGCCCTATGTAGAATGTTTAGACTTCATATATAAAAACAGGGTTTTCTAGAATTAAAACACAGCTTTTTATTAAAGTAAAAAGAAAGAAAGATTTGGCCAAGGAAGGGTTTCTTAAAAGTTATTTAGCCTCTGACATTTTACCGGCACATTTTTACCTGCTTTCTTCTTTTAGTTTCTTGGCTGCCTGTGTTGACAACTTAATCTGCAAGTCTAGTCTCTGCAGGAAATCTTTGGCTGACACTTCCTCAGGGTGTACAGGCTGAACGGTGGCCCCCGGAGGACTCGGAGGAGAGCGGTCTTCCTTAGCTGCTACTGGCTCCTCTTCATGAGAAAAACTGCTATCAACAGTTTCATTTTCTGGAGAATCCATTGAGTTAAGTCCATTAAACAACAAAGGCTTCTCTGATATAACTGGGATGTTCAAAGTTTTCTTCAGAAATATACAATCATTGGTAAACAGTTTATTTGCCCTTTTAATCTGCTCCATCTAAAATATAAAAAAGGGAACACAGAGTTATATATAAACAAATCCAGAAGTAGAGCTTATTATACAACACAGAACTAAAAATATTCATGAGTAAAATGTGTACAATACTTTCTCTGAATCTGAGATTCTTAATTTGAGTTTATTCATCTCCCCAGATACCTCCAGTTATTCCAAGAAATGTCAGGAAATTCTGTTTCCCAACTTAAAAACAACTTTTCATCTTCTTCCACTATATTATTTACCCCAAAAGGCAGCTTTTACCAAGCAGCCTTAAATCCCTGAAGTTAAAAAATGCAGCATTTTTAGGATTTAATAAATTCCATTCTTATTTTAACCTTCATGTTATCTGATTTTTAAAAATTTATTTATTTACTAGTACTGCTACATACAGAGAGCTTCCACTGTCTCTAGAATTGTGTTTGGTAAGTATAATGGATACAGTAGACGGTACAGAGATGAGTACAATGAGAATTTGTAAGAATGGTGTGGACTGAGGCTGCAGTCATTAAGAAAGGCTGCAAGGAGATGGTGGGTTCTGATTTTGATTCTTTTGACTTTAGATGGTCCTTGGAGAATGGGTAGAGGTGGAACAGGTAAGGAAAGCAGATGAGGGGGACTTTACATACAAAATCTCATTCTTTCTACCCTACTAAGTAGATATTTGAAGATCCACTTTACAAATAAAAGAAACAAAACTCAGAGATTACATACCGTGGAATCATCACACAACTGCGAGATGAAGAAGCTAGAGTTTAATACAGGTTTCTATAACCTCAAACTCTTTCAGAGCCTGTGGATGCCTCTCCCAAACCACAGATATATAGGGAGGGGAGGGAGAGAGAGAATGGAATTTATATGCATTATCTCATGTACCCTTCATGACAGTACTGCAATCTCGGTATGATCATCTCCTTTTTACAATGAACAAATGGAAATTCAAGAGTTAAGTGGCACACCTATATCCCAATGCTGGTAAGTCCAGACAGGACTCAAACTGCTGGTTCTGAGCGCCGTGGAAAAGAGCTCACTCTAATGTTCATCACCCCGTACTACAATGCAGATGCAGATGTCACAACCCAGCTAGCTGGGGAACTTGCTCTGTGTTAGATTCTTTCCATGCATTGTTCCACGGATTTTCACCCGTTGAGGTGTGTAACTGAGACAGTTTGGTGCGATAGCCAAGCACACAGGCTTGGGAATCTGACAGCCTGGTTTCAAATTCCCAGCTCTACCCACACGAACTATCCGAACATGAGCTTGTTACTTCTCTCACTGAGTCTGTTTCCTCATGTGTACAACAAGTATCATCTACCCTTCATAAGGTTTGTCAGAAGGATTAAATGAGAGTTTATACACATACTTACATAGAGGAAAAAAGAATGAATGGCAGACAGAAAGGAAGGAGGGAGGGAGGGAGAAAAAGAATGGAAGGAAGGAAGGAAGGAAAGGGAGAAGAAAAAGAAATAGGGGAGATATGATATATATATATATATATCCATGAAGGAGAGAGAGAAGGAAGAAGTGGGGAGGGAGGGAGATATAATTTAGCAGAGCACCTGGCAGTAGATGGTATTTCTCTTTTCTAATGAAGAAATTAAGATGCACAAGAAATGATTGATTTGACCAAGTGCACATGGCTCTTTAAATGCATGAGCTACAATTTCTGTCTGGCAGACACCAGGATAAAAGTTTATGACTAATGGGACCAAATTATGGGGATCCTTTAATGCCAAATTGATTATGAGTGAAAAAAATTAGATTTCTACTTCAAAGAGCCTGAAAAAACAATAGTCAAATATTAAATGGATCTTGCTCCTCCTGCTTTCCTACTATAAGCCGTATCCCCACAAATAGCACATTTAAAGCTTTCTTTTCTCTCTTGTAAATATACTACATTAAAGTATCTTTTGTGTAGGGTGGGATGGTCATTGTGTTCTGCTTTCTAGTTAAAGAAGAGAAGGCAAGGGTGAGAAAGAGAACATGAATGGACAGGTGCATTTCAGAGACAAACTTAAACTTGAAAAATCCTAAGTATCTCTGGTCATGCTCAGGCTTAGATTTGAAAGATTTAAATAACTTGAATACTTCATTCATACCAGGTTCAGGTTATGTCCTAATCTGCCTTTAGTGACCCCTGTTTTTACCACCTAGAATCTACCTCCTCCACCGCCCTTAGTGTGTGGGCTTCCCCTGAGCCCTGCCCAGGCCCCTGCTCTTTGGAACATCACAGTGCTCTGCCTTTCATGATCCGTCACAGTCCCATCTCAGAATATTGCAGAGATGCAACGAGGCCTTTGCTGGATTTGGGAGGGGAAAGGTCCTCTTATTTTTCGGCTAGGAAGAGATGGACCTGGAGTTGTGGCAGCCATCCTGCCACATCATGGAACCTGACAACAAGGCCACCTTGGAGAATAGCAATCAAACTTCTGAATCAAAACCTGAAGCCAGTGCATCCACCTACCACTTCAGCATTTTATTAAAAAAAATAATAATAATAATAATAATAATAATAATAATAATAAAGGGAGAAATGTGGGATCCACATATAAATCAAGTATAAAAATCAAACGAATATTCATATTTGACCTGATTGTTTATAGTTTATAATGCGTGATCAAAATCGAAAGTTTCTGTGATATGACTGCCCTTGTACTGTTCACCATGTAAGAACTTATTCACTATGTAAGAACTTGTTCACCATGTAAGAACTTGTTCGTTATGCTTCAGAAGATTGGAGACTGACGAGAATTAGGCTTGGGGTGGATTAATGATTGTGCATTGAGCATTGAGTCCCCTATACAGAATTTTATTGTTGTTAACAACCATTTGATCAATAAATATGAGAGATGCCCTCTCAAAAAAAAAAAAAAAAGAACCTGAAGCCAGAATACTCTAGTTTTCAGTTCCATGAGCCAATAAATGCCATTTTTGATGTATGTGTGTGTGTTTTGTTTTTGCTTAAGCCAATCTGAGTTAGGTTTTCAGTCACTTGTAAATAAAAGAACCCTCACTAATACAGTGACCTTTGACGTGCCTAGCGGCAGTAGCCTACAACTGCTAACAGTCATTGTTTTCTGGGAATAATGATGGATGACAGAAACAGATAGGAACACCGGGATCTGATTGCTGAGACAGGGCTGGGAACATCAAACAGAAACTATGAATTTCTTTAGGATAACAACCGGTATTCCTATAGCTTCCCTGGGTCTCACAAAGGTCTAGTGCTCACTAAGTGCTTGGGAGGGAGGGAGTGATGGATGGAGGGATGGATGGACAGACGGGTGGGTGGATGGATGGATGGATGGATGGATGGATGAATACAGGTCAGAGGAACAGGTATAGAGGATGAACCCAGAGAAGTAATCAGAAAGGGGCAGGAAGTTATCTGTTCTTGGTTATTCTCCCTCTAAGCACACCCTCACCTCCCAATGAGGTGCTCCCCACTCTTCTTGAGCCTGCTCTGAACTCCAGGAGGCTGGCCTCTTAAGTACCATTCTACCCAAAGCCTCCTGCCCAAAGGAAGGCAACAGCAAAATGACACGCCGTGACTCAGCGGCTGCATTCCTTTACTGCGGACCCTTGCCAGGTGTCCTTGGTCTGAGGCTACGGGTCTCGTGGGTGTCAGGGACACCACTCCCTTTGCCAGCACTGCAGACTGAGGGGCAACGTCTCCCTGCTTTTGCTGGTCTCCAGTGCCTCACCATCCCTGTGGGTTCCCTTAACCCTGCTCATGCTTTGGAAAATGTCCCTGCATTAAGATCTCTGCCCACACCTCTGTGCCCACTCTGTTTCCCAGCAGGACCTGACCACCACATCTATCATTCAAAGCAACACAGAGCATCACAGTCAGGCTACGACAGGGTGCACAGGAAAGGGGTCTGGGCCAAAGGCTGAGTGTAGGCAGGGAGTTGCAGGGAGGGAAGGGCAGGGCTCACTGATGACCAGCAGAACTGCAGCTCTAGTCTGTGAGCTTCCAGGTCAGAAGCTGTGCCCACCATCTCTGGCTCAGTGTTGTCAGCAAGCATTCAAGATGTCCTTTGACCTTTATGGTCTCGACTCTAAGATGATACACAGGACGCCAGCTCAAGGACATCAGGGATATCCAGCCATAGTTAGAATCAAGGTGGGAACAAATGTAAGGGTGGGTAGATTTGAGTCTGAAGTTGAAAACAGGTAAATGAACTTAACATAAAGTTGTAGTTTGAAACAGGCTCTGGGGCCACACTTTCTGGGTTCAAATCCTGGCTTTGCACTTTCTAATCTTTCTCTATGTCTGTTTTCTTTTCTGTAAAGTAAGAGTAATAACAGTATACCTTGCACACAATATAATCATTATGAAAATTAAATGCATTAATTCATGTAAAGCATTTAAAACAATTCGTGGCACAGAGGAAGCACTAAAAAAATGTTAGCAACTATTACCATTAAATTTGGTTAAAGTGAGAAAGCAATGGGTAAGAGCAGATCCTAACATGCATTCAGCAAATGAGAAGGAAGGAGGTAGGAATTTCTCCCAATAAAATATTTCTCCCACAAAGGACGGATTTACAAAGAATATGTCATATAAACAAGACGAGCTGGATATATGTTGTCACTGCCCTGAGGTGTCAGCTTTAAGGGTTTTTTTTCAAAAAGGTAGTAAATTTCATCTTAACTTGGTCTCCTTTACAAGCCATGGCTCGAACCGACTGCACAGGCTCAACACTCTGCTACCTATAGTAAAGTTAAGGAATGAAACCAGCCATGCAGAGCCACACACACACATTCCTGCCCAGAGAGCAGGGGCAATGCCCCAGAGCAGGAGAAAATGGTGGGACTGAAGTATAGGGGGCAAGGAGCAAGCTCCAGTCACTCGGGGCCTTGGATGCCACGGTAAGGAGCGTGGATTTTATTTTAAATGTGATGAGAAGCTATTGGAGGGTGAAGGAAGGGAGTGACATAACCTGATTACAGTTAAGATCGTGTGGGCAGCATTGTGGGAAATGGATCGACAAGAAAAA